TAATAAGCAAACATTTGGATGAATTGTCGCAGTAATTGTTGAAACAAAATTTATTTCATCCATTTCATCAAACATTTTTTCTAATTGATTTAAATTCATCAAGCTGTTCATTTTAATATCCATAATATTCAAAATCAATTCTTTTATCATCCTTAAATGAATAACACCAAAAATAAATAATCTTCCAAATTCTTTCAGCAGTTGGACATTTATCTGGATTAGCATCCATGCACCTGAATGCTAGTTCAACATGTAATTTTAGTGTGCTATTTGAAAATCCTGGTCTTACACCTTCACATATTTTCATTGCAAGGTCTACATCATGTACCAAATTATTAAAAGGTTCCTCTCTTAAAACTTCTAGTATAACATATGGTAGCACTCCAAATATATATCATGGTTATTTGATGCAGATGTTTGAGTAGATGGGCATGATAATCCTAAGTCTGTAATATATGTAAACATATTTTTTATTACAAGGAATTCATTGGAAATAACAATCATTATAATACATGGTTGCCTTAAGTTGTGTACTTTTAATCAACTCATCCAATACCAATGTTTCATTGCCACTAGTCCATCCTTCAGTTAATAGCTTTTGATCACATGATTGACGCTATACTATAAACCAATTTTCGCTTTATAACGATGCAAAATTGGTTAACCAAAAACATAATATAATTTGATAAACCCGAACTTAAGATTTGATGATGATGATTATAAATCAATTTTTAAAATTCGTCTTATAATGATAAAATTCGGTTTATAATTAGTGATAGGCAAAATTGCATAATGCGCATAATTTATGAATCATTCTAACAACGATTTTTATTGGTCAATATCAATTGTAGATCTACGTTGGGATGTAATGTTACACAGCCTTTTATTTTATGGCTCCACTTGGTAAAATTTGGCCTCATTTTACAAAGCGTAGCCATGAGGCCATTCATAAACAAGAAAGGGCTCAGTGTAATTACTGCTCACATAAATTGCTTGCTGCAAATTGTTGTGAACAACACCTTAAAAGATGTACCAAATTTCCACAAAAATATTATAGTATTGATATAGATGAGGATGAATTATCAGAAGTGGAAAATAATGAGATTAGGGAAAGTGTGAAGAAAGCGATAATGAATCAAATGAGCCAGATAGCACAATTGAATTATATGAATCAGATGGATATGAAAATGATTAAGAAACAATTATTTATTTTAATACAAAGATACATGTACAATTAAATAATATAATAAAAATTAGCTTTTGCTACATGAACAAATTTTAATATAAATGGTAGTAAATATTGTGCTTCAGACATGGAATAATATAATTATCTAATTTTTTTAAATGTTGTGCGATAAATTTTACCATTAGTTTCATTCTTTGCTGTTGCAACAATTTCCATAGATCCAAAATGTAATGTCAATAGTACAGAACGATTCAGTCCTAAATGAGTGTCAGGCAAATCAACATAGAAACGACCCAATTCTTTCATCTCAGGTTCATCACAATATGTTGCATCATGTTTGGCAGTATAATAAAAGTCAAGCATTACATTGGTTTGATTTGGGTGGTGTGGAGCTAATCTCTGGGAAAATATTCTGTCTACATCCACCTCTGTTCCTTTTCTGGCCATCAAATAAAACCTGTGGATCCGACCATTTATCATTTTACGAGACAGTGGATCACCAATTTGCTAATGTTAAAAAAAAAAAAGTTTTGTTATTTTGAATAATATATTGCTGTTTAGTTTTGGTTGATATGCTTACCCATTTACGACCAACTTTAATTCCATATGACCATAATAATACTCTTGTGCTTATAATATTCATATCAAGTCCATATTCACATGCACCCTTTACTATTGCAATAATTGGATTGGGTGGAACTATAAACAAAATATTTATTGATTAGTTTTTCTTTTTTATTTTAAAAAAAAGTGAGAGTCACCAACATACTTAATATATCCAATTTATCTCCAAATTTTTGTTTAATACTAGATTGAAGATATTTTGATTCACTGAATCCTCCAACCAAAAACATCATTGAACAGTCTGAACATTTTGACAACTGTTTCTCAATCAATCTCAAAATTTTGTTGATTACTGGATCAAAAAATGATTTCACAGTATCAAAATCAAGATCAATGACCCATTCATCCTCATCTGATAATTGATCTCTTTCTGACCCAGTGACATATTGCTTAAGTGCTGGACATTTTTTCTCAATGTCCAATTCAATAATTTTAAATTTGGATTTTTCACCAGTGAATGGAATTTTAATATCAGGACAAAAATATTTATGTATTAAATAATTAACCTGACCATAATGTTTCTCCTTTAACATGTTCATTGCAGATTTACCTACTCTACTTTCAAGGAATTTTAAAAACTCATCATCAACATAGGTACCTCCACAAAAATCTCCTGAACGCTCAGTCATTTCTGCCATTTGTTCATTTGGTAATAACTTTCTAACTGTTAAGTCCACAGTTCCTCCACCACAATCAACAACCAAGTATGTTACTAAGTTAAATCATACAATGACAATGCTATTTAGTAAATTATAAGGTAAATAAAGTGAGCCAAAAAGCATTATTATATATACCTCCTGTTACTAATTTGAGATCTTTTAATGTATTTATACAATGAATTGCAGCAGCTTCCGCTAAAATTTAGACCAATTATATTAGATGAAAATCAATCATATCATAATGGCTTGAAAATGCTTTCTTACGTTCAGTAGTAAATTGAAGATTTAATGTGCCTATAGATTTAATCAGGCCA